GCAAGTGTCATGACATGTACAGCTTAGGGAAATTTGAGGACACGAAGTCCTATGAAGTTTGAGGACACGAAGTCCTGTGCGCTGATGGCGGGGTGGAACACCACTGATCCAAAAAAATTTAGATCAGTGAGTGGAACGAAAAACTCTTAATGTGAGAAGGCAACTAAAATTCGAGCCAAAAGTGCTTTAATTATTCTATATTCCTACTTGTCTCTTCATTTTAAAGTCTTGCTGTTGTATTTCGGTTTTTGTGCTTTAAAATGTGTCTTTGTATTGAAGTGGTCAACAATGCTTGCAGTCCTCTTGTTTTGTTGTAGCGATGAAAGTGCTTGCCTACAATCAACGCGTCCAAAACTATTTTTTATTTTCAGATCATGCAAACTTTGAACTCGTAGGCGTAGCTATATTTCTCTGACTATATAGCCCTCTGACTATATTTGCACGAACAGTAAAAAAGTAGGAACTGATCCAACTTTTTCGCGGCGAATTTTTTCGCTGACCAATTACATTGCGAAGATTTGTTTTTCGCTTCGCGCGAAAAAAATCGCCTAGTGGAGAACGGGCTTATATTCAGTGTGTTTACTGATATTTTTTAAAGATGCGGTACAGTCTCCGCCAGGGTGCGATAATTCGCGTACTTACGTACCGGAGGTACGCCAATATTACTGTCTGGTACTTCAGTTTGATTTCAGCACGTGCCACGCAAGTACGCAGAACTCTTGCTATCTCTGCGTATTTACTTTTTGCTGGTGCCACATGACCTTTCCAAGTCCAAGGTCTGCATCACCGTAATGTAGGTGGTATGTCATGTGTCTGAGATGTCTTGGCATGAAACATGATTGGTCTGATGGCACTAAGAAACGTTGGAGTCGATTGTTTGTATATGCAATTGTGCTTCTTTTTCTATCTCGTAGTCTGAACATACTTTTCAGAAACCTGTACTTTATGAACCTTATTTTAATAACTAAGTACACATTGAGTACTGAGTTTGTACGGTGCTCAAGTACGCGACAATAACCATTGGCTTGGCGTACCAGTCAAGTACGACTAAAATCGCACACTGGCCCGTATGTAAACAAATTAGGCTTTGTTTACATTTCGGTATCCAAAATATAGAATTTTATTCGACAACTATTTATATTTTCATGATTCTGGAGCATAATAAACTATCAATTAAGGCACAACAATCAAGCTTTGCAAGAACATAAAATGAAATAAAAACCTAAATAAACTGTTTGTATAATAAAAAAGAGGGCTCCTTTGTGCACATGCGCAGATCGGACTGTACAGCATCTTTAATTCGGCCTATTTTAAGACACAACATGTAATATCCCGAAATAGCGATAGTGTGATCGCGTCGAGTTGATTACTACTCTAGAAAGCTTTTCGAAATACGCCATCTTGTTTTCGCAGTAAAGCTGTGATTACTTAACTTAAAGAATCACAGTCAACCGTGATGCTTCGCGCGCTATGTAAATGCTACATATAGGGGAGCTAAAAATAGTGTTGTCTTCGAAAATAGTCACACTAAAAATTATATACATATTCTTTTTCATATACCCTCGCTTGTCGGTCTTCTAGCCATCTACTTTATAAAATGAGAAAACTTTCTAAAATCATTGGTTAAGATAAATACACACGCCAAAATATCAATCAGTGGTCCGAGTTCTTCGGATCTTTCGTCATTAAAGTGGCTAATAAAATGGCGGAATACAAAACAATCAAAAACATTTTAGCGTGCAAAGCATCACGGTGACACATCCACCGGCCTCAGAGTGACAAAACGTAACAAAGCAACGGTTTTACCTACACTAACCCTACTCCAAACACCAACTCTAACCCGAATCCTTACCCTAACCTAACCCTACGCCAAATTTGTTTCTAAAGACTAAACCAATCTTGAAGAAAAAAGTTTTGACGAAATGTCATTCTGAGGTCAGCGAAATGGTTGATGCCATCAACAGATCGGCAATAGCAATATATCTTCCGACTATAAATAGCGTAGGCTCGGCCGCAGCCGGAACTTGGAGAGCCCCCATGAGGCAGAGTTGTTAACGAGTCCTATGTTGCAAGTCCAAGTCAAGTCACAAGTCACTTCCTGCAAGTCCAAGTCAAGTCACAAGTCATTAATTTGGTCTGAGTTCAAGTCAAGTCACAAGTCATTTTGTCTAAATCCAAGTCAAGTCAAGTCACAAGTCATTCCGAGTGGCAAGTCAATTCAAGTCAAGTCACAAGTCATTTTATCGCCACATGTGGGCCATGTTTTCCCACGCAAAACGGCAAAATATGTAAATATGGCGTCGTTATTTTATGTCAGAAATTTTACCACGAAATCGCGAAAAAAACCGCTTTGTCAGAAAATACGCCGGCACAAATTATGTCGATGCCATTGATATATACTAAGGTCGTTGCCCAAATTGTACAACACGACGATCGATCGATCAACACAAAGATTTTGGAAAACTTGATTTTCACTAGATATTTACGTTTGACTTGCGTTGGTAACAAGTCATTTCTTGCAAGTCCAAGTCAAGTCACAAGTCATTTTGTCCAAGTCAAGTCACAAGTCATCAGTCTCGTTAACAAGTCAAGTCACAAGTCACAAAAATTGCGACTCGAGTCCAAGTCACACGACTCGAGTCTACAACTCTGCCATGAGGGAACGGCTGGGACCGAGCTAGTATAAATAGCGCAGATATACAAAAACTTATCAATCAAAACAATATGCAGCTACAAATATTGAAGAATATATAGGGAACAAAATGGGATGGTTTTTGTAGTGCATGCTCTCATATTTTTCTCAAAACAATCAGAAATTTGTGACGTCCTAGACTAAACCGCTAAAGCATTAGTTTAAAAAACACCGCTAAAGCATGTGTTTGCCGCTAAAGCAGGCTAATATCAAATGTTCCGACATTAAGTGAGACGTCTGGTATTATTATTTATTCTATGCCATTGCATGGCTTTCCACTCCATTCCTTTGAATGTCTATGGTAAAATAAAGCTTGTGCTTTCCGAAGACAACAGGTGGACCAGTACCTTTTTATAAACCCACTAGAGCGCAAGGCTCTCCCCTTGATGAGTAAAACTGTCTGGCATTAGACAGAGTAAAATACAAAAAAAAGGGGCATTTGGGTACATTGCTGCTCAATGGATTAATTGAAAGAAAAATGGTAAACTCGAAAAAAGCGTGTGCCCCGGCCTCAAAGGCAGAAAAAACTTTGTGCCCCGCTTCTGCGACTCTCAATTGTCTGCTGTTTTCGACTTGCTCTGATATTTTTTTTCATCGATATGAGACTGGACTTCAACTGATAGTATGGCAGCGAATTTATGAGAGAAACAATTCATTGACATGCTAACAAAACAGCTTCTACGTATCGATTAATAACACGAGAAATAAATTACCTGTATTCTGTAACGAGATTTGCAAGGTTTTTGGCCTTTAGGGCCGCTATGTACAACGAATCCCTGCTTTGTTCGGACATTTCCTGATGTTTATCAATAAACATCCTCATTAGAGTTCGAAATAACGGAATAAATTTTAGTCAAGGCCAATGGACCATTTGCATTAAAGACTAAATTTTGATCTAGACAAAAATTTCATCACAGCTTGAAAGAGCATCACAAAATTAGTAATATTCCAAAGTTTCGTTGCGAAATGTTGTAAA